TAATTTATTTTTTATGAAAATAATCACTTGACACACTTTAAGTTCTTTAAACTATAAAATGCATTTAATACATATTTTATGCTAATATGTTTTCATCTACCTTAATACCAATTTTCAACTCCTAGCTGAATTTGATACAAACAGAGCTGTTTGATATAGCTCTGCCAAGCTTTCCAACAGGAACTTCACATTCTCAATATGACTTAGACATAAAACCCGCTATTTGATCTCCGCTTGCCTTAAACAACTTTTCATGCTCTCGTGATCTCTCATCGGGTTGGCACAGTCATAAACAGTTCCTCAATCTTCCAGTTGCCTCGATCTTGCCAATATGTGACTCAATTCAGGTGTCTTGCAACGTTTTCTTTTCCAGTTTCTCTGTTGCACTTTGCCCCAATTTGCGGATGGGCATGCAAATTAACCCCATTGGATTCCCATTTAACCCCAATTTTTCACAACGTTCGACAAGTCGGCTTTTGGTTTCATATCTTTATATTCCCCCCTCCCCCGGTTTTTTTGCAAAACATTTCGAGATGCTTGGGGCCGTTTTGTTGATATCTTGTTATTTTTTGGCTTTTATTATCTTTTATTTTTCATTTTTTTTTTTTTTTCATTGTTGTTGCTCAAGTTTCGCAAAATGAATTGGTTCGAAACATATTTCGCTGGCTGGGCCATTGTCTTACTCAAGCATAAAGTTTATGGCGCGACACTCGAATGTTGCGATACGAGTAGTTTAAGCATTAATTTCTATGCAAAACAAGCCAAAATAACACTCACCTTGCAACAGTGAGAGTGCTCTAATGAGCCGAATGCGCAGCTGCGAGATACCCTGAGTTGAAAGCTGTATTGTATTTGAGATTCTCAAGGTGATCTCAATATATGGATGTATGTAGTATATAATGTGAGTACTCAAAATAAAAGCTTTATATAATTATCGATAGAAAAAATAATTTAATTTAATTAAATTTTTTAAAATATTTTTATATACAAAATTGATATAAATTTTGTAAATCTTATTATAAAAGCCTTTTCATTTATTTACATTTAACGATAATCTCTTGATATCCCAATCTAAAGTTTAGTTAGGTATTTCTTGCCTTTATCATTCGTAAAACATAAGTAGTATAGTAGTGGCATAAGAAGAGCGCTGCAAACACTCAAAACTCGCGAGTCGCACGATTTCTGCATGCATCTACGTCTCCCGCACGCACCCTCTCTCTCTCTCTCTCTCTATCTCTCTTTTAGTCCCTCTCTCTATCTCTCGGTCGGGCAGCATCAAATGTAGCTACAATTTTGTGAACTGGCACTTCTTCATTGGTCTTCAGCTGTTGCCCTCCCTCGGCTTCAACGTCATTCGCTTTAACATATATATTTTCGTGTTCAAGGCCAAGCGCTGGCGCTTTCTTTTACAATAGCCGACCTTGACGCAGCAGCGACTTGAGCAAGCGTCAGCGATTCGAGCACTCCCTCTTGCTCGCCCTCTCTCTCGCTCGCTCGCTCATTTTCCGTCTCACTCCACCGTTCAGACTTGGCTCTTATCAAAGAGCCAACAACAATAAACTAACCCACTTAGAGTCTGTTGGCCCAGTGCTCACCTGCTCACCTGCTCGTTGTTCGTCCGGCTGGCTTTATTGATCAGTCCGCGGTCCGAGCAAACAAATAGCCGCATTTAAGCAGACGAACTTTTAATTTTGGATAGCCGAACACTGAAATGTCGCAAAGTTTTTTTTAAATATTATTTTTGCTGTCGTAGTTGTTGTTGTTGCTGTTGCTGGTTGTGCAATTGGTTAACTAGCCCGCCTCTGCACAACTGACGCACTCTTTAGGGTCAGTTGCCCTTAATTGAAAATAGATACATTGACTATGACGATCTGTTTGCCAGTGGTAATAATTTAGGGTATTGTCAAGAATCGTTTTTGGGCATTTATTAATTTTAATAAAATAATATTTAACTGAAAATCATATAGGTAGCTTTGATAGTAAATAAAATTCGTATTACAAGTATTATTTATATATATATATACTTAGGCTAGTTTTCATGCTGGGCACCTAAACGAAAATGTTCAGTTAACTTAAAAGTCATTGTATACAATACTTCAGGAATTTATATTAAAGATCTTATTGAATTAAGCACAAAAATAAAAATTAATAAATATAAATATATATATTAAAAAGGCTTTAAGTTTTAATTTGTTTAAAGCAGCTTTATGTTTAAAAGAATTATCTAATCCTTGATAAGCAAAAAAAAAAGTTTTATTTACTATGCTAAATTAATTCGGTTCCTCGCAAACTACTCTAATTTTTTATAGAGTATCCACTAGTTCGAGCCCTTCTCTTCTCTGCATGCATGCCTAATTGCTGTTACTTGAACATAAACAAAAATGCAACTGCGTTGAGCTGAGCTTGTCTTCAAATTGACTCACATACTGTCTCCCTGTCCTACTCTCTGCAAGTCGCTCTCTCGCTCTCTGCAACTGTCTCTCCCGCACTTGTGCTCTCTTACCCGACGTTGCTCTTCAGTTGAGTCTTCTCTTGGCAATAGTAGCGAGGTTATTGGGTTTTGTAATATCTTATGGGTTTATTGTGCTATTGCCGCAGTCTTTCAAATTAATTGCAATAAATAAAGCAGAAAAAAAATACAAATATCTAATAATTTTTTAATGTTTTTTTAATATTACAATAAATTTTTATAGTTTTATATACTTTAGTCTAAGAGTCTAAGAGTATATTAGTTCTGTATAATTTGTAATTGTTGCAGCTAGAGGCTTGAACTGTTGGATTTAAACTCTATTTTAACTTTAAAGACAAGCTCCGATGAAATAGTGTATATTTTATATATATTTCCCGTAGGGCAATCTGGGCGAAGATTTAAATTTTATATCTATTATATTCTGATATTTATAAATCTGATATATATTAGACTTTGTATAGAACTTTATAGAGAATTCAATGTAATTTAAATTCGTTTATTATGGGCGTGTCGAATTGCAAAAAATCTATATAATATACTCTTATTGCTGTGGCTAGAATTACATTAATACACGAACCGGTGGAAAAATCTCGAAAGCTTTACAACAAAAAGGTTATAATTAAGTTGGTATTGAAGCTAGAGTGTTAGTATGCAAATAATATTTAATAGGTAAAAGAATCAGAATCATTTCAAATTCCACAACAGTTGATCTACTTTATAAAGACATTATATGATATTATTATTATATATATAATATACAACAATCGATTCGTAATTATGTCCACATTCGCATTAACTACTTTTTGTTTTTTTTCTGCTATTAATAACATATTATTCATATAATTTTATTGTATATTTTTGCTTGTAAATTTGTAGTGTTTGTTGTTTAATCTCTTCGTATTCATCGCATTTCCTCTGCACGTTCTTTTCGTGTCGGTAACTTGTTTTGCAGTTCATATAATTCGAGCGTAATTAAATATAGTTGGTAAATTAATTTTTAATTGTTTTTTGAGTTGTGCTTTTTGCGTTATCTTTGGCGTTAGTTTTTTTTTTTTTTTTTTTAATTTTTCATTTTTGTGGCATAAACATTTGTTAACTGCATTTTTAATACTGTTGTTGTTGTTTTTTTTTCAAGGTTGTATTTGATAAACAAACCAATTATTATTATGTAAAGACTTAGGCAATTAAATGTGAAGTTGTTTAATGAAGAAAAAACTTGATGTTTTTCATATACATTCATCAACTATTTTAAAAAGCAAAAGCTGTTAATGAGAAAGCTTCACCCTGCAAATCAATTAAAATATTTGCAAATTATGTTTCGTTAACTCATTTAACTGCTAATTGCCGCAACAAAATTCACACCTGTAATTAGGAAGGTAAGCTACTTTATGCGACAGCCTGGCAACGCCAATTCAAGCTTTCAATAGCTCTCTGGCTCCAAAGCTCAGCTCAACTCTTAAGAAAAGAAACTCTTAAGCTGGCATAGCAACAGCTTATTGGAAACACAAACAAACTTCAATTAGAATCTCGCCATGTGAATTTGTATTGAGCAACGCAATATGTTGCAGCAACAATTCGAGAGTGAATATCAATTGAACTGTACAAACATGTTGCCGCAACATTTCATTACAACTCGTTTGGGCAACATTGTTGCTGCGCTCTGCTAGCGGGCAACAAAGTGTTGGCAACTTAATGAGTCTCAATTAGTTTAAATGAAATGAAGCTGCGGCATTTTGATAGACTGGGTAGACGCGCCGGCATCAAATAGCCACAACTCCAACTGTGAAGCGTTTATTTAATTGAGTTTCATTTAAAATGCGCAAACAGTTGCGGAATGCGCAATGGAATTTCAGAGCTCCATTAGAATGGAGATAATTTGACGAACCAACTGCGCAATAAATGCAGAAAGTTTTGCATAAATTATAAACTGCACTAGAACTTACTATATGCGACCATGAAATAACCAGTGAGCCCTAAAATATGCTATGCAAAAAAGCAAAAACAATTATTTTAAAGTGTGTTAATTATTATTGTAGATGTTGAAAAGTGGACTTAAGTACTCACTTAACAATTGCTTATAAATAATTTATGAGTACAAATATATAATTTGTAAAAAATTATAGCTGAGATAACTCAGCTAACTGCTAAATAATTTAAGCATTTAAAATATGCATTTAGTTGAGTTAATAAATTATATACATAAACAAACATCAAAAATATGAAAATGTTAATTTAAAAATAATTTGGAGAAATATTTCCAAGAGAGAATATTCTTTGTAAATAAATATAGTCTAGAAATAAATAAATACAACAAATATTATTTTTGTAATATAAGACATTCTTTTTCTGAAATTTGCCAAGAACTAAAATATTAAGAGTTAATCAAATTACGTAACTAAATAATTTACCTAATTTATATTTTATCTCCATAGCTCTATCCAATAGAAGTTATATACAAAGCTCTATCCTATACTCAAATTAAAATAAACTATTTTCTAGTTTTAACTTTGTAAACATGTCATATAAAAACTCTATTTAGAGTTACTGTTTATTGTTTTTCCTCTTATGGTTCACATACTCGTATGCCTACCTCAATGGAAAAAAACCCTCTCATGGGGAACACCCTCTATAAATGTTCTGGTTTGCCGTCAACCCCACGCACAGTCGCCACATTCAACTCGAGTTTAGAACTCAAGACCCCTAGTGCTATAAAACGAAAAGCCCCCAATCTGTTAAGTGCGTCGAAAAATTTAACATTTTTAGAACATTTTAGTAGCAAACAGTCAATGATCTACCGAAGCTGCGCGGCTTCAGTTGTGCCGATCTGAAAAAAAAAATTAAAAACTAAGTTGAATTCAAAAAGGAAAATGTTTGCATTGAAGCTGTTGTTGTTGCTGCTGCAGCTCTTCTACCTCAGCTCAGCTCGACCTGGTTTTGAGAATTACTCGACACGTCTGCTCCAACGTCACGGAGTGAAACGCGTTGACTTTCGCTTGGTGAGTCAACAGGAGGGCCTCTACTACACCGAACTGGACACCGCCATGCGGGATATCCTGCTGCAAATGCGGAATTTGTCGCAGCAGACGGTGCTCGCCCAGTTCGATTGGATAAGGGCGAGAAATGTTGAAGCTGGTCGCATGCAGCTGCCGGTGTTGCAGAGCGAACCATTTCCGTGTGATCTGAGCGGGGGTCGATCGCCGAAGGTACCCAAGGACGTGAGGCAACTGCGTCCCGGGGACATTGATATTGTGGCAACGTGTGGCGACTCCTCCAACTCGGGCACGGGCATTCTGGGCCTGGGGGAGCTCGATGCGTTCGTGGAGTATCGTGGCTATGCCTATACGGGCGGCGGCTTCGAGACCTGGCGCACGGCTCTGACGTTGCCCAACATTCTGAAGCTCTATAATCCTCGGCTGTATGGCTATGCCGTGGGCCACAGCCTGGGCGCCGATGTGAATGTGGCGCGGTTCAATCTGGCTGAGCCAATGCTGAACATTCAGGATTTGCCATTTCAGGCACATGTGCTGATCGAACGTTTTCGCCGAGATCCCAGGGTCAACTTGCGGGAGCACTGGAAGCTGCTCAGCATTCAGGTGGGCGCCAATGATCTCTGCTCGGAGTTGTGCCATTCACCCAATCCGGAGCACTTCCTTCGGGTTGTCGCACGCCAGTTGCACGAGACGTTTCGCATTCTCAAAGAGCATGTGCCGCGATTGCTCATCAATTTTATCGTTCATCCGGACATCGATGAGCTGCTCAGTCTGCTCTCTCGAGCTCCGCCCAAGTGTGTCCAGCGTATGCCCTATTTCTGCTCCTGCTACAACCGTTACAATGATAACACATTGTACGATGCAGCGAAACGTTTTCTTCGCCTTCAGCTCTCCATTGCCGCCCTGCCCGAGTTCCGTAGCGCCGACTTTGCCATTGTGCCCCATGGCATACTGAGGAACATCAGCAGCTTGTGGTCTGAGCAGGGGGTCATGGTTAAGCATTTCTTTGCCAACGATTGCATCCACTATAGTCAGCTGGGCCATGCTGTGCTAGCCAAGCAATTGTGGAATAATATGGTGGGGCAAGCGGACTTGACCTCGGTTGAGGAGTGGCGCAGGCCCTATAAGCGTTTCCTGTGCCCCTCTCCGAAGAGGCCGTATTTGAGAACCGAAAGTGATGTACTCTAGAGAAAACGAACTTGTTTGTATAATATAATGATTGAGGCAGCAGCACGTGTTATTGACTCCACACATTAACCTAGAACTGAACTCATTTACGTATACTTTGTTTATAATTCATTTATAAATTAAATGTTTAAATATCATGTATATAATAATATACATATATAATAATATTCCATGGGGATCAAAGCTATAAGTACTCACAGTACTCACACAGATCAGCTTCTAAATTTTCTGAAAAATGCGAACGAATTAGTCGACAAGACTAAATGATCAATGAAAGCCTTCTAGGAAGAGCAGAATAGATCTAGAAAAAATATTATTATTAATTATAAAGAATCGAAATCGGTATTGAACAAATTTTATTATAAAGATTAAACAAAAATTTTTTTTAAATGAAAAAAAAATAAATAACAAATACAAATCTAATATAAGTAATGCATATGATAATTAGTCATCAATTAATTCAGGTATTATTTCCTGTTGCCCATAATTTATAAAAAATACCTTCTATGCTATTAATATACTAATGTTATATTTTTTGATTATTTATTGAAAACATATATTTTAAATACTTCGATAAACATTCTAAAATTTACACACAATCTATTTGTTTAGAGTTGATTAGAATCTAGAGAGTACTCAATCAGGTCTATGGGCTTGCTCATCATGCTGACATAATCTTTATAAAGCTATAAAGACTGATACTCACTGTCCGAGTGATCATGATCAAACAATTTCGCGCATGGGCATATAACGTACTCCCTTCAATGCTTTTCTCTCAAGTTTGTGTAGCTCAAGAAATTTTTTAATAAAAGTTCACAAGGCTGGTTTGTACCAAAGAATGTTCCCCACTACTGTGGTCGATGTGATTGCACTTATGTGTATGTTTAATGAGTGATTTTTCTGTTTTATCGCTTTTTGTATTGTATTGCATCTGAGCCCAAGATGATGATCAATTAGATATTCCAGTTTGTGTTTATAGATCCTCGACTTTAGTTTAACCAATAGGAGTTTTCTGTATTGCCTAGAGGCAATAAAAATATAAAGTAAAGTAAGATAAATATATACCATCAATATGATGTGAAGCATTCCCTTAACGTTTGTTCTTTTGGACATAAAACACTGCTCGCACGATCGCCCCACACCTGAGTCATTGCAGAAGTGCCATTTTAGCTAGAGCTTTGTGGAACAGCATGACGAGCCCAGCTGACTTCAATAACACACAGTCCTTCTGAGTATTTTATGACTTGACAGCGATGAGCAGCAATTTCTGCGTAGCAGATAAATAGCGGAAGTTCCAATATCTGAACAACCTTCGTGGCATCAACTTCATCCAAGACACACCTATCTACATATGAGTCAAAGCCCCATACTTTATATATAGTTTATATTTATAGATCACTTCACTTTACTTGGCTTCATTGTAATAAATTGTTGGTATGTTGTATTCTTATAGATATGATGTATTATTGTTTATATGGGCAATAACCCGTATCAAGTACGAATAAGTACAGTAAGGCTAGATTTTTGCATAGACAGCACTTAGATCTCAAGACTTCAGTTCCTTTGACAAACATATCTAAGCAAACAATTAGCTATTAACATTCGAAGTGGGCTTATAGCATTCACAACAACAGCAAAACCGTAACAAAAGTGTTGCAAAAGTGTTGCTCAAGCTTAATGTGCAAATATTTGTTGGGCTGAGCTTTGAGATGAAATCATGCAAAACAATTGACGGAACAGAGTAACAAAACAACCGAAGCTGTGTCACAGATGTGCGGCTGTAGATATACTTTTTGTTGATGGAGTACATTAATAACTGTAAACTGAAAAAATATAATAAATAGCATTTTATATTTGTTGTTGTATAATTTTCCTTTATCAATGCGTGCATAATAATATAAAGAAATATTTAAGTAACAAAGATAATTAATAATATTAAAAATAATAAATATAATATAAATGCTAGTTAAGGTGTTTTTTCGCAAACTTCGTACCATTCAGAGTAATGTGAGTATAAACCATGTAACTCATTACATTCTAAGCCACTGACATATTCGCAATGCGGGCTCCAATTTATCAACATGTTTATTCAATTGTACACATATAAAAATAAAAAACATTTTTTATATTATATGAAACAATAATTGTTGTTTGCCATGTTGTGGTAGCATCAACATAGTTGCCAAGGTAACCATTTTATTATGTTTATCTCTTTTTTTTTTTTTTTTTTTATTTTAATACGATTTTTGACAATATCTTTGAACCCAACGCACTTGAGTCGAGCCCAGGCCGAGTGGCACAATTTGTCTGTCCCATTGGCTGTTGTTGTTGTTGTTGTTGCTATTGTTGTTGTCATTTTAATAGTAGCTAATGTCTCGGTCAACGCATTCGAGTCAAGTTCTGTAGTGGCAGCTCTAAACTATGCCGGGTTGTTGTTGCTGTTTTTAATGGAAGGAATTGAGTGCTCAAGTGCTCAATGAGCGCTCAAACAGAGAGCTGAAACAGCAATGTTTATATTGTACGAGATTCCATTTATAGCAACATTTAAGCGCTTGACGCATTTGCGTTCCGTGTGAGAACGTGTCGAGATGTCGTTGTGCGTGCGTGTCTGACCTGAGCGTCTCCAATCGAAAAAGGACTTAAAATGTACCGTTCAGTCTATGGGGAAGTGAAACAGAAATCGTTCCACTTACAGTCCACAAGCGTTACAGTGCTGTTTACCATAAAACGTTCCACAAAGGCATACAGGCGCTCTTATGTGAAAAGTGATATTTGTCAAAAACTTCCGTTACTTCCACTTGCAAGAAATACGCTTGAGTGTGATACAAATGCGGTATAAATGTGATAGATGTGCTCAATAAATAGCAAAATCCAAGAGTTTATATTCCACATACAATTCACACGCGCTAATGTGGGCAAATATACTGTTACTTTTGTGTTGTGAAAAGAAACAATATTTTAGCATCTCTGCATTATAAACATACAATCCACACAAGAGAACGTGCTAAACATAATTAATACTTCCAGATTGCATCACATACCACAACATGCAAATAAGAGCCAAAATGACAAATACTCGATCTATTGTAATTGTGCTCCTTATGGTACTTTGCATCGCTTCGTATTGTAGCCCTTATACACTGCGGCGTCGCTTGCAGAATCGCTCCCATCAGCTGCTGGACGGCATAGGAGTGCATTCCAAGCAGTTCAATCCACTGCAACCGGTCACAAATGGTGTGCCACAGTACACGAATATTGACCGGAATTTTCGCCAATGGTTTCTCATGCTTCGTGGAAGGATGTTAAACGCGGGGCTGAATAAAATTAACGAACTCTACGGGATTAGTAGGCGTGAGGGAAAGATGCAAGCTCCAATTCCAAGTCGCGTTCCATTTCCTTGCTCGCTCAACAATACTAGATCCCGCACTCCTCCCACCTCTGTGGAACGTCTGCGACCTGGCGATATAGACATCGTGGCTTCCATTGGAGATTCCTTATCCGCTGGCAATGGCATTGTATCCAGAAATGCGTTAGATCTGATAAATGAGTTTCGTGGGCTTTCCTTTTCCGGCGGAGGTTTGGGCACCTGGCGTACAGTCCTAACTCTCCCCAACATACTAAAGGTCTTCAATCCGAATCTTTATGGCTATGCCACGGGTCACAGTCTGGTCGTAAATCATGAGATTTCGCGCCTGAACATTGCAGAGCCCATGATCATGTCACATGATCTAATGTATCAGGCACGTGTGCTCATCGATCTCATGCGCCGCGATCCACAAGTGGATATGAAACGGCATTGGAAACTGCTGACTGTTTTTGTGGGCAACAATGATATCTGCTCCGACATGTGTCACTGGGACGATCAGGAGAAAATGATCGAACGACACGCTCGAGATCTTCGTGAAGCTTTTCGACTGCTACGCGATAATGTGCCTCGACTTCTGATCAATTTGGTGGCGGTGCCCAATATTTTAGCCACGATGAGTCCGATAAAGGATGTACCCTTCGGCTGTTTTGTGGTGCACCGCATTGCCTGCAATTGCCTGCTAAGCGATCGTCTGACCGCATCCGAGGCGAAGCAGCGACACTACATGATTCAGCGTTGGCAACAGGTTGATCTACAGGTGGCACAATTGCCGGAGTTTCAGCGCGAAGACTTTGCTATCATTGGCCATCCCATGGTAACGAATCTATCCGTGCCCAAGCTTCCAAATGGTAATACGGATTGGCGCGACTTCTCACACGATTGTTTCCACTTTAGCCAGCGTGCACACGCAAGCGCAGCAAGTTTGCTGTGGAAGGGCATGTTCCTGCCGGATGAGCAGAAACCACGTACCAACATACTGTCGCAGCCCTTTGAAAGGTTCTTCTGTCCCAGCAGGGAGCAACCGTTCTTTGTGGTGCGACCCAGCTGAGAGTGCTGCACTTCGATAATAACAAAGTTGATATTTTATTTTGTATATATTGATATGATAAGTAGTCATAAACAGTAGAGAACAATCATTCTTAAGATTCGTAGAATGGAGCGAAAAATTAGTTTAAAAACAGAAAATTTTAAGAAAAAATTTATTTTTAATATTTGCTAATATCTATTATACCACTCAGTGCAAAAGGTTCTCATTAAAATATTTATAACAGCCAAGCTTGAATAGAAAGAATAGTCCAGTCGATTTTCTTTTCTTGAACTTTGTTCTCTCAAATCTGAATAGGTTGAATATTCTGAATTTCTTACATGTTAATATTTAATATTTATATTGCTACGAATCGTAGAGTGATTCGTGTAGTCCTGACTAGAGTACTCTTTACTTGTTTTCAAGTATAGGTTATACGTTTGAAAGAGCGGATCGGACTCAAGGTGTTTCCTCGTCAGACACTGCTTGCTTCAATTAGTTATTATTGTTATTTATTTATTATTATTAGTCATTGCAATTACTTATAGCACATACACACCAATATAAATGTTAGTATTTAAGAGGATTAAAGGATTCTTGATGAAATGAAACCCATATTATTTTATCAAATTTTATCAAATAAATATTTTATTTTAACAAAATAAATGAAATTTAAAAAAATCAAATAATAATTTAAACAAATAATATATTATACAAATACTAATAATATAAAAATAATAATAAGAAATCTTAAAAGTATTTATTAATTATCTGCTTACTTTTTTCTTTACAAGCTAAAAAGTGTGTGGGGCATATTCTGAATTGCTCCAACCAATGGAGATCTGATATAATCAGGCAGCTTATTGCTTATAGATATAGCTTGTAGAATCAACCTTATCCAAGACTCACCTATTTATATATAGTTTATATTTTTAGATTACTTCAAATCAACTAATAAATAGTATGTATGTATGTATATGGATATGATATATTTTTAATTCTTCTATAAACATATTGTAGGCGAAAGGGTAATAAATAAATAAGTAAATGCTGTTGCCATATCGTAGTTATAGAGTGTAGGTAAATTTAGATGTTGAGTTTTATAGAATAATTTACATAATCAGTCAAAACAATATAGATTTAGACAGATTTTCTAAAATGTATAATAAACACAATATTATAACAAATGCGGGGTCAAAGTTAAGTTGCCTACAATTAAAAATGTAGGGGAAATCTTACATTTAACTGCTGACTGTTTTTGTGGGCAACAATAATATCTTCTCCGACATGTGTCACTGGGACGATCAGGAGAAAATGATCGAACGACACGCTCGAGATCTTCGTGAAGCTTTTCGAGTACTCCGCGTTAAAGTGCCTCGGCTTCTGATCAATTTGCTGGCAGTGCCACATATTTTGACTACGATGGGTGGACTGAAAGATGTGCCACTGCAATGCTTTTTGATACAACGCATCTTTTGCAATTGACCGAATCCGAGGCGATGCACCGACACTACGTGATTCAGCGCTGGCAACAGGTGGATTTGGAGGTGGCACGCTTGCCTGAGTTTCAGCGCGAGGACTTTGCCATTATTAGCCATCCTATGATTACGAATCTTTCGCCGCCCGAACAGCCGAACGGCAATGCTGATTTGCGCTATTTCTCCCACGACAACTTCACTTTAGCACACGCAAGCGCGGCAAGTTTGCTGTGGAACGGCATGTTCTAGCAAAATGAGCAGGAGCCACGTCCAAGCAACCTGACAGAGCCCTTTGAAAGGTTCTTCTGTCCCACAAAGCAGCCCTACTTTGTGGTACGACCCAGTTGAGAATCGAACAGAATATAAACGATATTATACTTTATCTTTATAATAAATAAACCAAGTATTAATGCTATATATTCCTTGAAGTGTGTTATTAATGACATAATATTTGAACTAAACTAAACTTGTAACAGTTTTGTGTAAATATTTGTTATTTTACCTATTAAACGATATCATCTATAGTAAGCTCTACATATATTAGACAATTTATTTAACAAAATACTTTTTCCTTTTATTAAACAGTATGTACATTTTATTTTAGATTTCCTTCAAGCCTGGTTTTCTGATTAATCTACCGTTAGAAGTTATTTCCAAATGTTATGTAGCAGCATTAATTTAATTATTCTAAAATCATTTTCGGTTTACCTTGTGATCAAAGTGAGAGCAACACTTGAAATCCGCACCTGATTAACCGACCTTAGCAACAATGTTCCCATTATCCAGTCGCTCTACGCTTTTACCCATTTCTCCACCTCCATTTCAATTAAAATATTATGCAATTATAAATATATATATATATATGTACACGCATATATATTTTTTTAATTAATTAAAAAACACTAAAAAACAATACACCGCCCAGCATAAAAATTCATTAAAAATACTTTTTGCTTATATGGCAGAAAGTATTTTTCCTGTTTGTTGCGGAACCAAACTCTGACTCTCAAACTCGAACCAGAGCCCGAACCAACGTTTCAACTGTACGCGTGACAACGCCTGCTTATTACGCCTGCTAGACTACTCCTCCGCCCCAGCCTCAATGCAGCAGCGAAACAAAAAAAAATTATATATATATATATATATATATATATATATATATATATGGATATTTTTTTCATATCCATGTGTAGCATTTGCATATGCAGCGCATCCACCTGCAAACCGGACAGTTGCCAATGGGCGGCGACCAACCCCCAGGACTTCACACATGGCATATACAAAAAATTATATACATACATACAAATATATACGCCCACTACAAACAAGGCTTGGGCAGCAGAGGTGGGCGCAGCAAAAAACAAAAACAAAAAAAAATAAGTACGAAAAAAAAAAACTGAAAAAATCTGAAAAAATTGTGGCCGCGGCAGCTGAGGCAAACATAAGCCAGCGGGGGGCGAGGCAGGGCAGGGCAACTGCAAAAATTATATTAAAAATGCACTGTCCGAATAAAGGGCGTTACACACTCACACACACAGCTGGGAAACACACATACGCTGACAAGCTCTTAAACCCTCGCTCCCAAAAAAGAAATAAATAAATGTAAAATAAATGGCAAAAAAATGTAATAATAAAGTTGAAGCGCTTGGCGCGGGAGGGCTGGGGCGGTCCATATCGTTGATATACACTCTCTCTCACTCTCTCCCTCTCGCTCTCTCTCTATATATATATATATATTTATATATATTACATATTAAGCAACAGCAAAAGTGTCCCGTTGCAAAATATGCAATTTGGGTACCAAAATAAATAAACCAAATAAACGAAATGGAATTACAAACAGCCAAAAAGCATTCTCGAAAAAAATAAACCCCAAATGATAAATAAAATTTAAAATCTCGAGCCTTGATTAACCCAAACGAGCATTAGGCCAGCGAAGAATGGGCATCAATTCCATATGCAAAAGTACGCTAGGTACGAAAAAAAAAGTACAGAATGTATTTTAATTAAGAGTAGCCGACTGGGAAATACGCTGAATAAATCCTTGAGCTGCAGCTATATAGGTATTTTAACTATATTGTTGAATTATCTCAGAATTCAAATATTTGTTATATTTATTTTTTTTTTTTTTTTATGAGAAACTTGATTTCATATTTATATAAACAGCTCATATGGTTTACAAGTTCTTAAAAATCAAGGTATGAAGGAAAGAATGTAAACTGGGTTTGTTTAAGGTTTCTAGCAAATTCCCAGACTTCAACTATTTGAGCTTTGACTCCAATTTAATTGAATAATCTTAATCACATATGTATAAATGAATAACTATATATATAAATTTTAATATTCGCTTCAAATTCTTTTAAAAAATATGTTTATCCCTTCATTTTCTTTAGTGTACAGTCACACTACTAAAGTGGAGTCCCCTTTGAAAGAATTTGTTTTCGAAAATTTGAATTTCGGAGTAAATCGAAAAAGAAAACGGACGACTTTGCCATTTCGAAATATCGGAGCTCGACTGTATTATATATTTTTATGTATAGCACACTTCGGCTTAATTCCTACTAGCATACAACTACCCCAAGCCAATATACTCTTTTTTCATACCCACTTTCAATGTGAACAGAAAAAAAAAAAGAAATATATCCAAACACATTTAATCAGACTAGAGCTGGAGCGGGGCAGGAGACTGGGTAAAACAGCGTAGAGCGAGATGCAAACTGTGCATAAATATAATATGATTGCAAACAAAAACATTTGAGCCATTTGAGCTTGTCATTTGTACCAAGTTCTATTACTTTTTTTTCCCCCTGTTTTGTTTTGTTTCGCAGCTCGCGGCATTTGGCAGCTGCCACCCACAGAGCTGGGCATATAGAGTATATTTCGGGTTGGTCGCGGAGTTCCCAATGTCGAGTTTCGAGTTCCGAGTGTGGGTGCATCGACAATGCCAGACATAGAGTCGTGTGTAAAATCCCGTCAGCTGCCTGTTTCGAATAGCGTTCTTTTTTTTTTTTCTGTCAGGGTTAGCTAACGCCAAAACAATCAATAGGAGAGAAAATATCTGGCATATACGAATGGAATTTCGTATTCAATTTGTGCGAGTCGATTTTAGATTGGCTCACGAAAAACTTATACATATTTATAGAATTTTTCTGCATTTGCGTTAAAAAAAAAAAAAAAAAAAAAAAAATTAAACATATATATAGAGTGAGAGATTTTCAGAAGGTGGACGTTTTTATTGGTCTTAAAGCTTTAGCAAAGTATTGCAAATGTGATAGCATTTCATGTTTTCGAGTTAAGTCACTTATATGAATTAACTTGAAATGAAAAAAAAAAAAAATTATTTAGAATATTTTTCAACTATTAGTATATATTAAAAAAAAAATATTTATTATTATGAATAATATCTGTTTAAAATAAATTATTTTTATAACGAGCAATAATTTAATAAAGCAATGTATTTATATTATACAACTTATTACCAATATTTTTGAATTAAAATATTATTATTTTTTTAATATATACTAATACTTGAAAAATATTCCAAATAATTTTTTTTTTAAATTTATAAATGTAAATAAATAATACAAAATAAAATATTTTGAAAAAAAAAAAATATACTAAATAAATCAATAATCATCACAAAATAAATAAATCATCAGCAATAAAGAATATATACAAATTAAATGGCTAGAAGCTAAATATATTTTTAATAAACTATTTTCTGTACTTAACTTAACTTACTTAAAAAGAAAAAGGCCTTTCTGGCTCGATATATTCGCATCACATTCAAAGCTGATTTGATCAATGCTCGTTGATGACGGCGACGCCCCTTGAGCTGCTCAGACTCCAACTTCAATTGCAGTAAGTCAACGAACCGACACTTAGCCAGACAAATCCATCAAGACAGCACATCAACTGGGACAGACAGCCGGCAAGGCGATGGGTGTGTGGGTGACGGGGGGCGTGGTCCAATACGCAATGGGCATGAAAATGTCTGCAGTTAGCCAGCGGCAAACATTGAAAGTGGTCAGCCAGAAGATGGGATCTGTGGCCGGGGTCAGAAGCAGAAGCAACAGCAGCAGGAGCATTCCATGCCATCCATTGGCCAGCAGAAAAAGTCAACGCTTGACATTAAACAGCGACAACATTTTCGCTTTGCATGCAAAATGCCGGCACAAA